TATATATATATATCCTCCTGTTTGCATCACGGCATCTGGAGCATGTCTTTCTCTACCTGCTGTGATGGTGATATGCTAATTTGACACATTCGTTATGCATAATGCGGTGCTTTAAGCCACGCTTACCTTGAGTAGATTCGTTGCATATTTACCAACAGTTTTCACCCGGAGTGGACACGAGCTCGGGCGGGGCAAATATCGCCGATGCAGTACAGCATATAGACCTAATTGTAATGGACGAACGGTGTAAACAGAATAGTTTTCCTTAAACGCACCCTCGAAATGACATGTGTTCCAGTTTTCAAGAAGTTCGCACAAACGGAACACATTTTGTTTGCCCTTAAGAGCAAGGGACATTTTCTTGCGGAGTTCCGTATCGACCCTCGATCGGGGCGAAGCTTAACAGCTTGCGCGTGGAAGGAAAAGCATGCATAGGCCTGAGGCCGTAGGTCATTGACCATAGACCATAGCTATGGATCTGCGTGAATGATCAGGTCCCGCTTGAGAACTCACCTGCCCTATGAGGCCGGCGCCGCCACTGGTACTGCTTCCTTTTGGTTCTTCGCGTCGGGCTTGCGTGCAGGGATTGAGGCTGAACCCTCCTCAGGATGGAACAATTCAAACTTCATATCGCGTGCATAACCCTCTTGCGTTGAAACGCTTCGAACAAACCACGACACTTAAAACCTTGAACAGGGTTTTATGCTGGCAAGCACGAAACCATGCAATACTGCCCGTCTCGACCAACAGTTCTATGACAAATAGCAGTGAGGCGGTGATTGCTGTATTCTTGTTTCCAAGCAAACCCGGCAAGCTAGAGCGTACCAAATTTTCGGTGTGAAACAGGGATAACTAGTATTTTGGATGCACTTTAAACTTCTTTCCCCCAAGTTGTGCCGTGCTGGGAATTCGCGGAGGCTCGTAACCATGACATCAAAGATGCGCTTTGTACTGGCATGAAATTCAACCAGGTAAAATGCTTGGCATGTAGCCTTAATATCTACAAAATTGCTCAAGTCACCATTCGTAAATGATTGTTATAGCAAACGTCAGCTGAGATCTCGCAGCATGATCTGCGCCAACGGATTTCAGGGCATTGAACTTGTAAAGGGACCCATACTGTTGATAAGAGCCGCATTAGACCAGCATTCCAGCCGATGAGACGCCAAGTCTAGTAACCTAGCCATCTGCGGGTAGCCTACTGGATGCCATTTCCACAAAACCCACGGGTTGAGTAACTCTATGCCCTACTCTAATACTACCACTACTAGTAACTCTAACTCTAACTCACGGTAATCGTAACTCTGTGTGAATGGTGCGGGTGAATGCTGCGCAGTCTGCTGAGAGGGGGGAAGGGGGGGGACAGCTTCTGTTCGACCACCGGTCCAGATGACCTTGATCGCCAGAAGGCGAGAAGGGCGTTACGCAGACCCATCCGGGTCTGGAATTCGTCCGTATCGACATCCGTTCACGAGTCTAGACACAACCACAAACTGGTGGGATCTAAAATCTCTACAATCTAAATCTAAAAGTGTGGTAGATGTGCCGTTAATAGCAGCGCTGACATATGGCTCAAATGCTGCTAGCATAACCATGCCGTCTTGGAATCTCACGGAGGTGCAGACAGATCATTGGTGAATGGGCTGAGTCAGTCAGTCGGCAAGATAAATAAATTGATTATTCCTGCCGGCAGAGCTCTTTTAAAGATTTTGAAATGAGGTTTCACGGTGGTCACTGAGCTGGTGATGATATCGATCATGCCAAGCGTATCACAAATTGTATGTCAGCTATGCCTAGACTTTTTTGTTGCTCTAGTTTGATCGAACAAAAAGTGTTTGCTCTCAGTTCATTTATACCTACGTATAATATATGTCCTCTGATATACACATTACAGCCACAGGGCCATGGGCAGGTGGATCACCTGAGATAACGGCCGTCAAAGCAGGGACTATCAAACCCCTGGTGGCCTCCCCAAACCCGCACGAAATTTAGAAGCACTGTCGCTGGTCGTCATTGGTGAAAGGGTCTATTATCCCGTTGCTAGTTGGTGATAGTCTCTGATGTCTCACTGCCCATTGGTCAAGAAGTTTGTTGTCATGAGACTGATTGGTGGGCGATATTTTTGGAGGGGTTGCCTGAGTTATGATTGACAGCAGTCTGCGTTATCTCAGTCCTGATTGGCTGCAGGGTCTGCTGGAGCGTCTCCGAGACGGTGTGGTGATCGGAGACGGCGGCATGATCTGTGAGATGGAGAAGCGGTGTTATGTGCAAACCGGTTACTGGACACCAGAAGTCTGCGTGATGTACCCGGAGGCAGGTAAGAGATGGCAGTGCGGTGCTGAGAGGGAGAGAGAGAGAGAGAGAGAGAGAGAGAGAGAGAGAGAGAGAGAGAGAGAGAGAGGAGAGAGAGAGGAGAGAGAGAGAGAGAAGAGAGAGAGAGAGAGTGAGAGAAGAGCAGAAAGAGAGGAGCATAACGGGTGTGTGATCGGAGAAGAAGACGGGCAACGTAGAGCGCCTCAGCGTGTTTCGCCAGACTAGCGCCTGGTACTGCCGCTCGCACTTCAGCAGTGTACTGCCAAGTACGTGACCGTCGCACTGGGCCGTTGCAGTGAAGGGGCTGCACCGGGAGTTCGCTCGTGCGGGCTGCGACGTGCTGCAGGCGCTCAACTTCTTCGCCAATGAGAGCCTCATGAAAGAACTGGGGGTGACGCAGACGGTCCAGGAGGTGAACAGAGCCGCCGTGCGGTAAGAACACACACTAACGCTACCAGAAGTGGCCACAGTGGCGCCCCCGTCGGGATGTGGTTTGTCTTGTTATCCGTGGAACCGGTGTTTGGCTAGAATTGGGCACCGTGATACCGTTATGTTCACAGGGTAATGAGTCTCGTGGTTATGGGGCCGCCCTCTAGAAAGTTACTCGAAACACTACGGTAATTTGGCAACCTCATGCAGGCTGTCCGTTAAGCAGAGGGAGGGCGGGGACTGTTGGTGACTGCCTGAAACCTAGCACCAGGCTGTGCCAGATGGTGACTGACGAGAGGGTGGTGATCTGACCCGACACCAGGCTAGGTCAGACAGTGGTTGATGACAGAGTGGTGACAAAGTGGAAACATGACACCACGTTGGTGAGACAGTGGCTGATGAGAGAGTGATGACATGGGCTGCCCCCAGGCTGTGCCGGGAGGTGGCTGAGGAGCGGGACGATGACCTAACCTGCCCCCAGGCTGTGCCGGGGGGTGGCTGAGGAGCGGGATGATGACCAAACCTGCCCCCAGGCTGTGCCGGGAGGTGGCTGAGGAGCGGGATGATGACCTAACCTGCCCCCAGGCTGTGCCGGGAGGTGCCTGAGGACAGTGTGATGACCTGACCTTTCCTCAGGCTGTGCCAAGAGGTGGCTGATGAGAGAGTGATGACCTGACCTGCCCCCAGGCTGTGCCGAGAGGTGGCTGAGGAGCGGGGTCAGCTCATCACGGCTTCTCTGACGGCCACGCCCGTCTTCGAGAGCGGATCGAAGGATGAGGTGATGGCCGCGTACAGAAGCCAGCTCAAGATGATCACCGAGGAGGGCGTCGACTTCATCATGTGCGAGGTGATAACAATTGGCGCTGTCGTGGGTGCGACACTTTAATGACGTCACGAGGACTCCGCTTCATCGGAGTGACGTCACTATGAGCCAGCTCCATTGGTGTTAAGGAATCTGACCGGACTGAGACCGGAAGCGTCTTACAAATCTTTTGTTAGAGAAGAGGCGCCGATTTTATGCTTCCATTTTCTCACGGTAGGTGAGATGGTGATAACAGCGCATGTTACCGTGCGAGACTGTAACGCCCCACCTTCTGATCGGCGTTCTTCTCCTCACTGTTTTCCACTAAAAATGTACCTGAGAAGGTTGCCTATATTCGGCCACGAGATAGTCCGACTCGCTCGCGTTGTGATGCTATGCAGAGTCGCGACCCCGGTTGAGGTCAGACCTCGTCTGACCTCGTCTGACCCTACGCAGCATGCGTCCGTCTACATACACCGCGAGGGCCTCAGGGCGTTGGCGGGGGCTTCCAAACTCGAGGGAGAGGGCGGGTGGCTTCCAAACTCGAGGGAGATGGCGGGTGGCTTCCAAACTCGAGGGAGAGGGCGCTCCAGAACATTCTACGGCGCGCAATTCTAGTGCGTACGTGATCGCATAGCGAAGCGGCAGAAAGGCATTATGCAACAGCGAATAACACATACCAACTGCGGAGGAACAAAAGCCCAGCGAATAATGAGCTCAGAAAAAGATTCTCGGCCTCAAGGATTAATTACGAAGCAAACAAGTCGTTGCAGTACTCAAGCATCCCTGCGTTCTTTGTTAGCGTCCCTCGTTACAGGGCGTCCTTTGGCCGTCCATGTGATTTAAATCAAGACAAAAATCAATGTCATTTTATAAGACGTTAATCGATGCAAGTCAAACACGAAAATCACCACAGATGCTGCTAAAAGAGTACCGTCATGTTCGATTAGCCAGCAGGGCAGTTTCACAGAATCCACGTTTCATTATCTGCTTGGCGTCTCCGTGGTAGTGTCTTCGGTGACCGTGGCGCTACGGCGCCGTTCCAGTGGCTGTTTGACATCCGTAAGATGGAGTGTCGTCGGTGACCGTGGCGCTGCGGCGCCGTTCCAGTGGCTGTTTGACATCCGTGAGATGGAGTGTCGTCGGTGACCGTGGCGCTGCGGCGCCGTTCCAGTGGCTGTTTGACATCCGTGAGATGGAGTGTCGTCGGTGACCGTGGCGCTGCGGCGCCGTTCCAGTGGCTGTTTGACATCCGCGAGATGGAGTGTCGTCGGTGACCGTGGCGCTGCGCCGCCGTTCCAGTGGCTGTTTGACATCCGTGAGATGGAGTGTCGTCGGTGACCGTGGCGCTGTGCGGCCGTTCCAGTGGCTGTTTGACATCCGCGAGATGGAGTGTCGTCGGTGACCGGGGCGCTGCGCCGCCGTTCCAGTGGCTGTTTGACATCCGTGAGATGGAGTGCGCGATAGCGGCGGCCCGCGAGACCGGCCTGCCGGTGGTGGCCTGCATGACGATCGGCACGCGTGGCGACGTTCAGGGCGTCACTCCAGAAGAGTGCGCCCTCCGCATGGCCAGGGCCGGCGCGGATGTCGGTAAGTCCCGCGTGGAGCACCAGCGCCGCCAGCGGTTGTGCTAGCGTGAAAAGACCGAGGACTCGCCGGGATTCGAACCCGGGTCCTCCGCATTGGAGGACAAAGTCCTTACCACCTGGCCCATCGCGTTTACTATACCGGAATACCGATGGAGATATTCTATAGGATATATTCGCTACATATATTCTTAGGTATGTATTCGATGCGTCAAGTCTATAGGCATATATTTCTTGCGTATATTATATAGGTATTTATTCGCTGCGTATATTCTATAGGCGTATACCCGATGCGCATATTCTCTAGGTATGTACTCGATGCGTACATTCTACAGGTACGTATTCCATACGTACATTGTGGGTATATATTTGGTGCGTATATTTCATAGATATTCGTTCGCTGCGTACATTCTATAGATATGTATTCGATGCGTATATGCTATAGGTATACACTCGACGTGCTTATTCCATATGTATACATTCGATCCGTGTTTTCGACGTCATATATTTAGTAGGATAGTATAATATATTATATTCTATTTAGTATATGTGATAGATAGTATATGATATTTAGTAGGATATTCAGATATCCGTGACCGTCGTGTCCGTGTTGTGTGTGGCAGTGGGCAGCAACTGCGCGGTGGGTCCTCGCAACACGCTACAGACGCTGCGGAAGATGAGGCTGGCCCTGGAACAGGCCGGACTGAAGCCTTACCTCATCGCCCAGCCGATTGGCCTCAAGACGCCCAAGAACGGGGAGACCATGCTGGAGAGCCCACAATGGCCGCTTGGTAAGGACTCCTGTGGGAAGGCAAATGTACGGCATATCAATTCGATGTGAATTCAGGACACATTCATGTCAAAGTGCGTGCCGATGCGTGATGGTTGAAACTTTCCGAGCTGAGGGCTTGCAGGGTTTCTCAAACAAAATGCTCACTCTCTGCAACTCTTGCATATTCAGGTAGTTATAAGTGCACACTGTACTCGCTGGGTTCCCCTATCACCTTGATGCCTTGAAATCTATGTTATGTATTTCATACGCATTTAAAGAAATCCTAAAGCTCTTATATGCAGCCTGGCGTAGAAAATGATCACTTCAGTTGTTTGGCTAATTTGCATACAGTCATTATTGGCGCACATCTGCGTTAGAGATGTTCGTGACGTCACATGTTCGTGTCGTCACGTGTCCTGTCACGCAATCCTCACGTCATGTCTTGAGCTTTCAGCGTAAATTTTACCCGGCGCTGGTTGCGCACGAGGGGTGTTTCTTCGAACGCGTTTGCTGCGCTTCTTTCAGCATGCGAGCCGGTGACCATCTCTCGGTTTGAGGCGCACCTGTTTGCCAGGGAGGCTTACGAGGAAGGCATCAGGTACATCGGCGGCTGCTGTCACATCCGCTCCTACCACACCAGGTATGACACCGCTGCCGGTGATGGTGACGCCTCTCCACTCTGTCACTTTCTTTCCTTCGAAATTGTTATAATGGGATTTCGTTATGATCGGAAACGTTTTGTTCTCCGCTGGAGAATGAAAGCACGTTTAGTTTGTTTATGGGAGGCGGATGCTTAGCACATGCTTACATCTTTTTGCAGACGCTTCTCACGTTTTCTACATTGCAGAAATACCACCTAAAAGGCGGTAAAATCCTCACAACTCTCACCTTAATGAAGGGCCACCTTCCTTTCTTCGTCTGCCTTCTTCCTTCGTTCTTCATTCTTCCTTCTTGCTTCCATTCTCCTTCTTTCTACTCCCCTATGCCTTCTTCCTTCCTTCTTCCGTTTACATTCGTTCTTCCTTCTTACTTTCGTCTTCCTTTTTCCTTCTTCCCTCTTCATTCTTCCCTTCTGCTTCTATTTGCCTTCGTTCTTCCTTCTTCCTTGCACCTTTCTTCCCTCTGCCTTGCCATCTTCCTTCTTCTTCACCACCTTCCCCGTCTGCCTAGTTTGTCGGCGCATTCAAGCGGTTGCTTCCGGCTGCTCGTGTCCCCTCTCCATTGTCCCTGTCGTGCATGACCCACGTTTGCGCCAACACGACCCTCCTGACCTGACCTGACCTGACCTGACCGCCGGCCGTCTGCGCGTGCAGGGCGATGGCGGAGGAGCTGGCGGAGGAGCGGGGCTACCTGCCGGAGGGCGCCTCTCGGCTGGGCTCCTGGGGCGGCGGCCTGGACCGGTTCTCACACCCCAAGGTGCAGACCCGGGTGGGGCGCAGTCACTGGGCGCACACGCAGCCGGACCATGAAGCCATCAGCACTCATTCTCCGGCCGAATACTTCGCCGACTGGCGTCAGGGAACGTCCGCTTGAAGCCAGGCTGGGGTGGACGGGCGTCAGGCGTCTCCAATCTGGGAGGCGCCTGACGTGGTCTCCAAACTTGGAGACCACAGTCTCCAAGTTTTCGCCTGCAAGACCATGGCTGTAACCACTAGGAGGCTGAAGGACACGTCCCAGATTTTTCCACAGATGAGATTTTGTTCGCTCCAATTCTGCCCGTAGAAGAAAGGTTTTATATTTTTAAAGTCGAAAAGACATTTTCTGGTCAGTTTGACCGCTTTGTTCCTGGTTTTTCCCTCAATCTCAAAGACGTGGTTACGCTCACAGCTCATGAAGTCAGCCCATAACAGACAGGTGTAAGATCCACTTGCTGCTTGCGGTCATCAGATTGAAAAGGCCGAGTGAGTCAAGAGGGGCTCGATTTGTGGACGTTCCTTTCGAGAGCTTTTGGGTTAGGTGGAGCAGTTAGGGCAGAGTTGCTGGCCAGCACTGCATAGCAGCGTTTTAGTTGCGGTGATGCTTTTTCTGTCTGAGGAAGTTTTGGGGTAATGTTAGAGCTTGAAACTTTTAGCAGGCAGCGTTTTAAGCCTTTTCCCTAGTTATTTTTTCATCCGGCTACTCGGGTGAAGATTTGAGTTTATACGCGTCTAGTGCTGCCGTATTTCAACGGGAAAAGCTATGGTGATCGCTATTTTGAACACACTTGGAATAAGCACTTTTCCAAAGTGCAGTTATCGAGAAAGTTAGTGGAATCTGCAACATACCCTGCAGTTGCAGGATAAATTCCTTGCAGATACTGCGTAACCAGGGCACAATGAAGAGAAGTGCAATGCTAATACAAGAACTGCTCAATCTACGCCTTGTCATGTGTTTGGTGCTCAGTGAGATGGAAACAATTTAGGGCTAGGATGTCCCCGCTACTGCGTGCGTCATAGTGACACGGCGAAGCTTGGTTTGCGGCGGGGAAGGCGTGTGCGATGACGAGGAAAGGAATAAATGTGGCAACTATGACAAGAATGTGATAATTTTCTTGATCTTAGCAATGAGCATGCAAAGCGCAAGATGCCACAAGGCTGACCGAAATGACGAAGAAATTGCAACACTTGATGCAGCATATGAGAGCACGAACAACAATAACGAGGAACTAGAGCGTCTAACTAGATTATGCACAGAGGTGACTCCATCAGGTGAACGTTTTTTGCAACTGCAAGCGACTGCTGTCGTGCGAATTCGTAAACAACACGATTAGATACCAGGAAACTGCCGTGAATAAGGCCCAGCAAACCGCTATGGGGACGTGTCGCGAACGTTACGAAAGATAATTTCGTTTTATTTGTCATCGCAAGACAGAATGAGTGTGTTTTTCTATTCAGTTGGGTGGGCCAAGCGCCCCCCCCCCACCCCACACACACACTGTGAGAAGAAAGGGGGGGGGGGTGAAATCCGGGGAATCCCGTCTATTGGCTATTTCGGGGATAGCTTGCGTCATTTTTCGCAGCTCGGCCCCAACCCATAGAGGGCAGACACGACGTAAGTTTACAAAATCCACAACCTAGGGTGAGGATAAAGTCCGGTATTTTGATGAGCTCGTTTAGGTACCTGTTGTATGCAGTGTAGTGCAGATATATGCTTAGAAAATCCGTCTGTGACCCCGGCAATTTTTTACTTCGGCGGGTAGAAAAGCGACGTCAAGACATAAAGGGTGCCTTCCTTGCAGCGAAGTACGAGTCAGTTGATTGTCTTTACTGTCTTAGTTGACTTTTCCCATGCCGCGCATGTTCGGTATGAACCATACACAAAAAGCACGACGTTATTCATACCACCTTAGCCATATTACTGAATCAGTTACAGCTGTACAAAACTGGAGTATCGTTAATGTCATAAAACCGAAGCAAGAGTTAAGGAGCTACGCCGAAATTACTCCGGCCAGCCAGTCAGCCAGCAGGCAGTAGCTTCTCTCCACAAATCCAGTCAAAGGTCCTAATTATAGGTCTGGTGACACGAAGCAGTGGGGCATCCTCTCGTATTGTCACCGCAGGCCCCTACTGTGCAAAGTTCGGGCACGACGAACATGTTTTATGTCACTATCACTGGTTCCAAAACGTGCTACGAATACCACGTTGTTTGATGAAGCGGTGTGAGGAGTATGATACGGCGTATGGAGGAGGTCACGTGCAACGGTCATGAGATTCTATATGAATCAGAGACGCGTTTTGTAACGCGGGTCGCGCGAGGCATCCATCATGCATTTGTACCTGATTTCCAGAACCCTTAATGACACATCAGGCTTGCCTCGCGCCGACCCGTTATATATATATATATATATATATATATATATATATATATATATATATATATGCATGTATAAGCAATGATTCATGCGTGCTCACAGTCAGAAGTAAGCATGTTGAAGCAAAAATGAACATTCAAACTGAAGCAGGTGAATACCAAAAATATAGTCAGTATCTATGAAAACCTCCACTGGAAAGAAACCATTTAGAGCTCCCACATTCTGACACTTGATGCATGTTACGAAGCTAAGAGCTGCGTTTAACACAGGAGGATAAGCCGTAAGAGGAGGATGATCCATACCGAAAACAATGTTGGAAAATGACTTGTCTCAAACATCAGGCATCACGAACATTTCACAAGCACCACGATCATCTCGCTATGCAGTATTTCACGTCCAAACACATCATGCACTGTGCTAGGACCGCCTGAAATGCAGGTGCCTAAGCCTTAGTGTCTTGGTGAACCTTGCTGGTCATAAGAACAAAATCTAAGTGGGCATCATTGTTGACCACCTTGGACTTTTTCTGAACGTGCGCAGCTTTAGCAATGTTGCCGAAACCAGGCACTGGGCACATTTGTGTGTGGCACATGGGCACATTTGTGTGTTCAGTCTCGGATGAATATTTAGGATAAGCGACGATTCTCGTATCTTGAAAGGCTGTCGTTGTTTTCAGCAGCTGATAACATTTTCACTTCATGGTTGATAATTATTACACTCTGCCCCAATGTTGACTATTGGTCTACCATGTGTTCCTCGGCTGCGTGAGCGCTCTTCGTAAACGGGCTTCTCCAAGATGTTAATCAAGTCGGTCACAAATTCTATTTTTTTTCTCTCCTACATAGCAATTTCAGGGAACAGGTTGCAAAGGCTCTTATGCTTTGCGTTCTTCTGTGAGCATTTCCTTCCAGCCCACTAACAAATGCGTGGCATGTCTTACTCCCAGCTGAACACGCTGGGGCGTTCAGGGATAAAAGAACTAGCAAGGACTTGCAACTAGTACCACAAGTCAACGCCACCCCAATGCCGTGAGAACCGTTCGGCCGTACGTCGACATTTACCAGTTTGCACAGCTCGTCACCGCTGCGGGAAATTTTCATGAACGCATAATTTATTTCCTTCACCTTTCCACTGTTTCCCAACGAACCTGGCATGCTCCCAAGCCTTTGAAGGCTTTTCAACAGAAGCAGACTTCACAAAACTGCTTAGTAGTGGGATATCGAACAGCTCACGGGAATCTGGCACGGAACGCCCAACGGCAAGCCTGGTAGGCGGGCTTCTCCTGCTGCCGACCATGGCCGCGTGATGTCGCTTCGGTCGGCGCCAACAAGTCAAAGGTGGCGCTGCACGCACACCGATGTCTTCTAGGCCTGCCTCGGCGTAACATAAGGATAACGAATACTCACGATTGGGAAATGCTAAGAGAAATGCTAAATGCACTTAAGTGGTCGGCCCTACCGCGCACATACATGCGCTCTTGCGCCGCTCCGTAGAGATATTCTACAAATTATTATTAAGCACGGTCAGTGTGTTGTCCTGAAATAAGCCGAAGCTAAACACGCATAGGCCAGGGATTTAGGCCCCGTCAGGGGGGAACCCGCAGAGGAGTCAGGAGCCACACCCCTCCCCTTAGCCAAGAGGTTGACACTGCACACTGTGTGATGTTGCCAGAATTGGTGACAATCCGCAGGGGTCAGGTGAAACACATCAGCTACGTGCCTGGCTCCGAGGTCCGAACGACACATTCCAAACAGTGCATGCAGTGTTTAAATATTTGATAGCCGCTAGAAAAGCAAGCAACAGAAACACTGGCGACCAGAAGTGTTGGGCGTCAACACAGCATACGACAGCCTAAGCCACATAGACATGCTCGTTGTTCTTTGAGGGTTCTTGATCTCCTTAAAGCTAGTGAAGCCATCTTGGAATGTCCTTGAACGGCATTGGCTGTTAATACGCGTTCCAATCTAAAGGCACGCAATTCCAGTATGGCTGAAATTCAAAGTACAGCTGGCTTAGTCGCTCAGCCGCTTGCAGGGTGCAGTACAAAGGCCGCGATACAAAGGAAAGCCCCATCACCTGGCCGTCAGCATGCATGCAAAACCCCACATGGACATTCCGCCGACCGCGAGCACGTCCAACAGACAAGCGGAATTCCGCAGAGAGCGCGTCCAACAGACCGGCGGAACTCCGCTACGAGCGCGTCCAGCAGATCGGCGGAACTCCGCTACAAGCACGTCCAACAGACCGGCGGAACTCCGCAGAGAGCACGTCCAACAGACCGGCGGAACTCTGCTACAAGCACGTCCAACAGAACGGCGGAACCCCGCAGCGAGCACGTCCAACAGACCGGCGGAACTCCGCTACAAGCACGTTCAACAGACCGGCGGAGCTCCGCAGCGAGCACGTCCAACAGACCGGCGGAACTCCGCTACGAGCGCGTCCAGCAGATCGGCGGAACTCCGCTACAAGCACGTCCAACAGACCGGCGGAACTCCGCAGAGAGCACGTCCAACAGACCGGCGGAACTCCGCTACAGGCACGTCCAACAGAACGGCGGAACCCCGCAGCGAGCACGTCCAACAGACCGGCGGAACTCCGCTACAAGCACGTTCAACAGACCGGCGGAGCTCCGCAGCGAGCACGTCCAACAGACCGGCGGAACTCCGCTACAAACACGTTCAACAGACCGGCGGAACGCCGCGGCGAGCACGTCCAACAGACCGGCAGAACTCCGCTACAAGCACGTCCAACAGACCGGCGGAACTCCGCTACGAGCACGTCCAACAGACTGCCTGAACTCCGCTACGAGCACGTCCAACAGACCGGCGGAACTCCGCAGCGAGTACGTCCAACAGACCGGCGGAACTCCGCTACGAGTACGCCCAACAGACCGGCGGAATTCCGCAGTGAGCGCGCTGTGTCGCAGACCTACTGCGCTCATATCGCGCGGACGCCGGCCAGCCAAGAGCATGAGGTTTGACCGACAGCCGTCAACTGAACTCGAGCTGACGCAGCCCGCACCTCCCCTCTGACGTGACGTCACCCGTCAGCTCTTGGTCTCGAAAGGCCCTGCGAGCGTGCCCGGCGGCGGTGGCGCCTCGCCCCCTCCCCCTGCCGCCGCGGGGTTGGAGCGGTCACGTGACCGACTGTTGTGTCCTGTTGCCTGGAGGCGGCGCCGGCCGAGGGGTTCGGTGGGCCCGGTCTGGCCCGGCTGTCCCAGTTGGTCGTCGGAGGAGACAGCTCCCGCGCGTCGGTGCCGGTGCCAGAGGGTGCTGACGCTCGCCCCAGGCGACGGCGCAGGTCCAGAGGGGACTGGAGGCCTCGGAGCGCCGTCCAAGACGCTGAAGAGTCTGCTGCTGAAGAGTCGGCCAAGCGCACAACGAAAAAGTGCCGCTTGTTTGTAAAACGCGAAGTGTTAATGGCCCACATACGTGCTTTTGTTGTCAATGGTGCCGACCTCGTTCTACACAGTGAGCAGCCTGTCTTTGAAACGCAGCGGGTGAGGTAACGCGGTGAAAGGGGCGCCTTCCTTGGCTAGCTCTGCAGCCTTAAACTTTGAAGCAGATCGACTCCGTGTCAAACAGTGCTTTGGTGGTTGCTCTCACACCGCGGCGATGTGTGTCAGACTGGTGTCGCGATGGCTGGTGCTGTTGACACTGACACCATTGGTGACGGCCAACGTGCCCTACTTCTTCGTGGACTCGAGCATGTCCCTGGTGCTGGTGCCCGAAGACACGCCCGTCGGCACCACCATCTACCGAGTCAAGGCGGCTGACTCGGACTCAGACTACCCCCTGACGTTCAGCGTACCCGGTGAGTCACGCGTTCAGAGACAGGGGCTGCTACAGGGGCGCCCACTCTCCCTGCATGCTAGCGGTTACATCAGCGTGGCTTTCGGAAAGTGGGTTTTTCTCAGGTGTTAAGAGCCGTTAGGTCTCTGTGTCCTGCGTTCAGAACACAGAATACGTGACTTCTTACAAAGTACTGTGTACATACAACATGCAAATGTATATTTCTCCTCCGCGCAATTTGTCCGTGACAAGATCACAGCCAATACCGCATTTCCATGTGTATAAAACATTCATTCATGCCTCATTTGTGTTTCCTATGAGCACAAGCCATGGGCAGAGCTTTTAAACCTCTGAAAGCTTTGGAAATTGCTGATCAAATTCCAGATGACTCGAGTCAAGCTAAAGACAGTTTGTCTCGCTTTAGTTGCTCGAAACCATTATCGCTGTTTTAGCATCGATTTATATAATGCGTTTTGGTAGGAGTTTGGCCGATGTTTTGCCGCATCACCTCAACTTCGCGGAAACCAGTGTTTGTCGCCCCGAAACCAGTGTTTGTTTGTCGTTTAGGCTGGTTTCAGCCCAAATCAGTAGCCCTAACAATAAGTAACCAACCAACATCGCCTGAAGGCACCGGCTCCCGCCGCGGGAGCCGATGTCAGGTAACTGGTGGCTGCTGGTGGCCCAGGCCGTGGGATGGTACGGGCTCGCTGACAAATACGCTATCACACATTTCTGACAGAGAAGTTATCACACGTTACTGACGGAGGAGCTGTCACACAGTACTGGCAAACAGATGATAGCACATTCTGGCAAATAGATGATCGCGCACTGCTGACAAGCAGATGATCACACATTGCAGACAAACAGATGATCGCACACTGCTGACAAACAGATAATCACACATTGCTGACAAACAGATGATCGCACAATGCTTGACCAGCAGACGACCACGCCGTACTGATAATCGGATGACCGCAAAGTACCGGCAAACAGACTATTACACAGTAATGGCAAACAAATTATCGCACATCTCTGACAAACCGGTGACCGGGCATTTCTGAGCAACGGATGACCAAACATTGCTGACAAGCAGGCACTCACACATTTCGGCAAATCAAGATGCTTGAAAACGGATCCCAAAACAGTACATGGACTGCTTAAGGCAAATTATAACATATTTTTGACATGTTCATTTCCGCCATGGCCATGTTTTCATTATAAATAATGGTGCCAGCCACCTTCGTAACATTCTTTATTGTACAGCTGACCGGCAGGCACATACACACGTAGTCGTAACTGAGGACCGGCTCGTCCCAAAGAGTCGCAGGCCGGAGGGGATTGGGGAAGAGGCCCAATCCCAAGACCCAATCCAAAGACCCAAGAAAAGGAAGGATTGTGTGGGGTGAGCTGAACCGGACGAAGAGTGCGGGATAGGATTAGCGTCTTGGACAGAGCGTGGCGATCTGTGCCCCACCAGCGTGGCCCTGAGCTCGGTAGACAATAAGCAAGGTCAGACAAGAATGTGAGGGAAGAGAGTGGCCTAACATTTATCGCGCCTGGTCAAATGCGGCTGTTTATACATCCTGAACGAATTCCTTGTGTGAATGATGGAGCAAATCTGCGGAATACCACAGGCAAAACGAATCAACCTTATCAACAGGTGACTGTTGACACTGCTCGTTGTGATGCTGGACGTCATGGCGTCATGGCGTCATGGCGTCATGGCGAGCGATCGCCCGTGTCGCATTCGGCCGGGTAAATGACCGCTGGTGACCGTGACCGGTGGATGACCGACTCACAGTGCTGGGGCGGTGTGGGTCGCACACCGGGGTCACGACCAGTGGGAACGACCTCGGGCCCGGCCGGAGCTGCAGTCGTGCGCGCGCAGACACGGCGCCGGACGTCCCAGGAGCTCCGGGGCCCGGGAGTATCGTTACTGTACCGATCCACGGCTGTCTTCCGATGCTCGGCCTGGAATTTTGATGGATGAGGCGTGACGTCATAGGCCCGCTGCCATTCCGCGGATATGCTCCTATCCATGGGGGTGCCACCTCCGGCCAAGCTGTGTATTCACTCCATCGGTCCAAAGGTCAAGCACCAGGTAACTCCATGGATATAGGTTTATCGACCTCCATGGTCTAAGGTGTCCATGTAGTTCCATGGAGTCCATGGACCTCCATATGCGCCATGGACTTTGTTTATCGAACACCCCTACACAAAGAGCAAAAGGGTTTGCTGGCCCTGGAGCGAAACCCAGGCTGCTTTGGCGCCTGTAATGCTCAGAAGACGTCTGATGTTTCTCGTGCTCAGACACTTCTAGCCCAGCTCTCGACGCTGTTTTACGATACGAGGTCCCATACATACGAGGTCCCATGACATACGAGGTCCCATGACAGCCAAGCCAGCATAGAGGTCATTCAGGTCCCGGTCTAACTGCGAGTGAGGTCGGGGGAAACGACCTTACCGGGTCACCAGAGATAGCACTAGCTCAGCAAAGATATGAGTGCCTCACCAGAGGTGTCACCAGCTCACCAGAGGTATCACCAGTTCACCGGAGGTATCGCCAGCCCACCAAAAGCGCTAGCTCAACAGATGGCAGAGAGATTGGTGCTGCCAGAGACCGGCTGGCGCTATTGAAACGGAGGCTGTGACTAGAAACTGTTTCTTTATGTCTAACAGTGGACGACTTCCGTGGATGAAACACTTACAGAGCGTCCGGGAAGCGTATATCTGGGATGGCCAACACAAGTCGAAAAGTCGAGCGGCCGAACTGGGAACCTCGCTGTTCACGCCAAGGCTGCGGTCATCTGACATCAACATCTGACAACATCTGACAACATCTGACAACATCTGACATCTGACATCAACATCTGACAACATCTGACATCTGACATCAACAGACACGTTTACCACGGTGCGGGGCGGAATCTTCAAAGTCGCAGGCGATGTCAGTGCTGGCGCTATTATAACTCGCACTTCAGTCTGGCAATTCGTAGTTCCGGAAAGGTTGACCTTTTGATTGATTGTTCTCCTGGGATCAGCGCCCACGTCAAGCAGGACATGTTGCGTGAGCCGTAACTCCGCCATCCGGTCGTGAAATTCCAGGTCAACGGCGGAATTTTGCGGCGAAAACTTGACGTGCCGTTATGTTTGGCACAGTCCACCCCACCCCCCGGCATCACCTGATCTTTACCGTTGGCCATATTGCCAGCGGCCGCAGACCGTCCCAGTCAGGGCTAAATAGCGAGTGCCTAACTGGACTCGAACCCGCCCCGCCACGGGTGTCTGAACCAGGATACAAACGCTCCTAGGGGCCGCGCTACCAGTAGCTATCGCAAAATACGATGTCCGTTAAAAGGACAAACAAGGAATGTGCGAGCGTATGCTTCAAACAGAAGACTGTCTCCATCTCAACGCTTTTTGGTAGGACTTCCTAGTTTGTACGCCTCTTCAAGCATGACCTTTAAGTCCGCTTAGAGCATGTCTCGTGTCTGACCTCTCAGCGACTGCCCATTCCCGTCTCTTCCCCTCCAGGGGACCGACGGCACACACGAAATTGATGCGGGCCCGGGGTGCGCACGCAGCGCCGCGTGGGGTCACCCGACCAATCAGACGACGCGGGCGGATTGCCGCAGGCGGTGTAGGGTTTTCCCTGAGGCGGTCGCGTGCGTCTGGCCGGCCGACAATCACGGCCACCGGTCACGCCCCTCCCCTCCCCACTACCACCCCCCCCCCCCTCCTCTCCTTCCCCCGGAATTGTCGTGCTGCCGGCTGCGGCCCGCAGCACGCCGGCGTGGCGGGGGCCGATCCGATGCGGCGCCGAAGCCAGCTGCATGCCCATAATGAGGCGTGAAAGCCAGCTGGCGCCGTAACGTCCAGCAGCAGCTGGCCAGCGGCTGCAGGCGCTGGCTGAGGCACCTGCGCTAAAGAATGGGAGCCATCGAACTGGAGCCGGGCCATAGTCATGAAATAAAAGCGCATCTGATGGTCAGTACCATGATGAGCTGAACATTTTTAGTTGCGTAGAATGCTCGGGCCTCGTTAATAAGGTCTATGCAACTTTCTCGCATATTCATATTTTAGGGGCATTCGGTGGTGAAGCGCAATTACAGATATGGCATGGAAGCATGTCCTTTTTCCATTGAGCCCTTTCGGGTGCTCCCCGAACAGCATAAATAAATCAAAGTCCTTGGACTGCATGAGCCATTCTTTACTCTCCGTTCCGCGGTATGGGGGCATTGGTGGAATAAGTAGCCGGCAGACGTGTTGTGCTTCCATTACTTCCCATTTGTTCATGCCCATGGTCATTTGTCACCAGGTCCGTTGAAACGTCATGCGAGCTGGGTCATTCGTTCATGGTTTTGTTTTCTCGCCATTCCTAAATGTGGTCTTGGAATGTGGTCTTGGAATGTGGTCTTGGCACTGGCTCGTTGGAAGCAAACGAAAGCCGTCTTAAACTCACTCAGTCACTGAATCAAGATTGCACGAGTCTCACCACATACCTTCACGAAACATGCAGCCGGGGCACGGCAGTCATTCAATATTTCAGCCGACTTCATTAGTTCGGTATTGTCCACCACAGCATTCCACGCTGTGCGCAGTCGACCGTTACGTCAGCAGACATCCACAACACAATACTCTGACATCTACGACAGATCGCCTTCGATTCCCTTGCAACGCGCCCAGTGGCCGCTTCCCACACTGTCCAACGCCCATCCACGGACTAATCCACCCGTTTGGGGCGAGGCGTCCGCGTCGAATCGTTCAACCACCACAATTGTTCCCCGTAGTCCACCGTGCCCCGAGGCGTTAGCGGAAACAAAGTCGATAACGTGCCGACACTCGAAAAGGGCGTCCAGCAGCGTGTTGACACTCGACGGCGGCGGCTAATGAGGACATCGGACGCGGCACGCCACCCTGGGGCTCCGAGAATCCAGAGCCGACGGGCTCGGAGTCCTCATGGGCTCGGAGTCCTCACGGCCTCGGGGCCCTCACGAGCTCGGAGTCCTCAGGGCCTCGGGG